TAATATATAAAATTATATATATAAAAAAATATATAAAAATCTTTTGCAGATTCTTGAAGACCACTATAAGCATACGTGTGTATGTGTGTGCGAGAGAGAGAATCCTCTTTTTTTAAGATAAATTTAAGTACGGGTGAATCCACTGTCTCCACTGGTATTTATCATCAGGGATAAAAGTACGTGCCAAGGTTTTAGACTGGAAACATGCCAGCACTTGTTACAAGTTTTATAAAGCTTGCGTTCATCGCTGTGTGCTATCTTGAGATGGATTTCTCATTTCACTTCAGCTGCCTTAAAGTTAATCTTAACTTTGTTGCTTAGACTGCTTTTATCACTAAAGTCAGGCAGCTCCCACAGGTAATTCATTCCAAAAGAAAGGCGTCCAACACAGCCCGAATAAACAGGCTACTGGATGGGCCCATTCCTCACAAAGACCTGCAGAGAAAAGATTCATTTTTTACAATCAGCCACCACTTGGGAAGCAAGAAGGCTGCTGCTGCCATCCATTTATCCTAACCCTATGTTGACCTGTTCCTGTAACTCTTTAGGATGTTCATTTCTAACAACACGCTTATTTATTTTCTCTATTGGAACGGTTGTTTTCAATTTTAGACTAGCTCATCAACAGAAGCATAGGTATCCATGTTCTAAAAATTCTATCTCTCCTTTATGTATTGACACACTCTGTAACAGCCTCCCATCTTCTTCTGGTGTTTCTCAACAACGAAGCACACAAACACTGAATGTGAGATCTTAGTCTTGATGATTGCTGACAAGCTGAAAGTCAGAGATACAGATTCTTGGCCAAATCTGGGAGCAGAGAAGAGGGAGGAGCCAGAGCTGTTCACAGCTTCCTACCACCCTGCCTCAGTCATAAACAAAATAGCAGTGCTGCTTGGCTCGTGCCTGAGGGTACGAGTTCTGTGCTTGGCACATCATACCTCCACCCTAATTGTTCCTCTTTCATCAATGTCGATGATAATGTCTGCCTTTAGAAAGGTGCTTTTCTGATTAAAAAAAGATCTAAAGCAAACCACACACTCACTCACTTGTTTATCCGTTATTTCACAATCTACAAGCTATGATGATGGGTGCTTCTGCAATGCACTGGGAGAGTCCATCTACTGTTTACTGAGAACTGTATTTAGTCTCCACAACTTCGACTTTTCACTTAACAGAGATGGAATTAGTTCAAATAGAGCAACATTTTAGTCTGGTGACAAATATATCCCTATTCATGTGGGACAGATGTAAAACTTTTCTTGGAATGCAAATTAATGCTGCTGTAGTGCAAGCAAGGCACACAGAAGCAACCGTTTTTGATGTAATTGGACCACACTTGGCCATTGATAAGGCAGAAAATGAATGTATTACTGCATACCATTCAACTTCCAAACTAAATCAAATCACATTTATGAGTTACACTAGATTACATTAGAAGAATTCATTTCACTGAAGGCACTCCTTCAGCAGAGAACAGTCCTTTCTATGTAAGTGCCTTGCAAATTAAATCAACCCAGTCAATCAAGGAACAAATGATACATTTTCCATGAACATGTATATTTAAATACTGCAGAAGACCAACAAGTGGAGAGAGAGGAGAGGAGAATGGTGGCATATATTTAAATTGCTTCATTACCTTGGTTACTAAATAAGAGTGACTACAGAGAGAAAAGAACTCTCTGAGTATAGTATATATTTGTTCCAAAGCATAGAATAAATGCCAGCAATATTTAATAATAGTGCAAGAATAGACCATCAAATCTAATTAATGAAGAACTCTCTCTTCAATAAATAAGAGCACTCCAGAGAGGACAACATGGGCCAACCGCTTACTGTGGTCAGCTTCCCCTCTAGAGGTAGGGCTTTCAAGATTATAACAGTTTTTTGGTTACCAGGTAGTCTTTGGTGAATAACTGTGCTGCTACTCAAATAGTTCTGTAATACAGCTCCTTGGGCTAAAAAGGAGGTATCTCTGCACCATCAGGGATTTTGCAGTCAATACTGCAGATACAGCGGCTTAGCCACTGGGGAAGATTTGAGCAGCACATGTTCTACTGTGTCTTGTTCCAGACAGTGTTTTCTGCTGTTATTTATGGACTGTTTTATCTAGGTATGCTTACTACACTGTGAAAACACAGGATGACAAATCAGTGTTCTTTCTTTGCTCTTGCACCTACTTCTCCTTTCTCATCAAACAAAGCATGCGATTTCAAGGATTTTGGTTGCAACTTTGGTAACTTACTGGGCAGCAATCTTGATGAACTTTTTGACTAGCTGTACACGTTTGCAGAGCTGGCTGCAGAGAAGTATCTCAGTGGCGACCCAAAGCTGGACCTCGTTGCATCTTTGAAGCAGTAGACTGAGATTCTCGGTGTTTTCAGCACTGCCCTGTCTGCTGAATGTGAAGTATATCAGCTCTTGCTGGAAGACATTGACAACATTATTAGGGATATAAAAACTATTTAAAAGTAAATGAATTATGAATTATTTAGAAGGATGTTTTTGAAACAAGAGTTGGTTATAAATAGTTATTTTTTCATTACCCATGAGTCAATCACAAATGATTTAGGGTCCTGGTTTGGCTTAGCAAAGTCTAGAAGCTTATTACAGCAGGCAGGCGAACTGGAAGACCTGCAAGATATGTTTTACTTGTGAGATTTCCTGCAGTTCCACTTCTGGCTACAGACAGGTATAGAGCATAAAGACTCTATCTCTTTCTGTATTTCATCACTTCTGTTGCAGTATGAAAAAGCAACCCTATCAGGCCATTGCAGAATCTGAAAAATTTCCATTTGAACTTCTTCCTAAAAATACCCAAGCTTTCATCAATAGAGGTCTGGATCTTGATTTCTGTGCAAAATAAAACTTGACCAGCTCTAGATTTAAACTGCCTAAGCTGAATAAAAGCACCTGAAATGAAACAGCAAGGAAAGCATCTGATGACAAGGAAGGGAATTTCCCATTCATTTTCTCAGAAAGCCAACGTGATTTTCAGTGAATATTTTCAAGTGACATTTTGTACTTTTATCTATGAATTTTACTCAGCAGCTCACACCAGAACCTATCCAAGTCATAGAAACAACCCAGTGGACACTGAAGTGGACCGTTATCCCATTTTATAAAGCCTGTCCAGTATTTTTTATCTCACTGAAGCCTAACAAGAACTGTAATGTGACAATCTGCATTGCTGAAAGTGTGAATTCTTTTGTGGAGTCCTACATTTACTGGAACATTATTGAGTGCAAAGGATAATTTGCATATCTAACATATTCACACAGTTTTCAGGGAATAATCACGCTCGATTACTCTCCTGAGGCAGCTCTCAATAAAACCCATCAAGGACAGGGAACATATGAGATGTACCGGCACAGAGAAGTTACAAACCTTGTCTCTTGGACTTGATTCAACGCCGTGACTGCTGAGAGCTGCCGAATCACAGTGTTGTGATGGTAAACTGAGCACCAAGGAATAGTAATGCTCCAAAAGGCTGGTGCAACGTCAGGACATCGTAACAGCACAATGATGCATGAGAGTAATATACCTGGAAGCGGACATGGTCCTTCTTACCTCATGAATTGCATTGAAGAGGCTCCAGTCAAAGTTTGTTAGTTCTAAGGCAAGGTCCCAGGTGTTGATTCCCAGAATTCTCACAGACCTTTGCTGCAATTCCTCATTTTCAGCAAATGGGTTCTAAATCAAGAGCCAAGAGAAAAAAATAAATAAATCAGCAAATGCCAAAAGTTCTGCAATGAAACCACTACTAGACCAAGGTACAAAACAGAGCTGAGTAAGTAATCTTCTCTAAGTGCACTGCAAGGGTTTTTTCCCCCCACTAACCAAAATCAAGGAGTTACAGCCTATTTAATAAATAGCTTGACACAGCTCAATAGGATCAATGATTTGCTACTGGATTAGGCCTCTACCTCTTTCTCTAAACCTTGAATATAAAACACTTATAAAACTGACCAAGCAGATAGCATAATGAAAATAAAATCCCTAAAGCCATCAAAAAATAAAATCTGAATTAAGACATTAAAAAAATTGTATTATCAGATAAAAGAATCATTCTGCAAACACACCAGACTTAGAATAAATACACGCAACTTGCCTACCAATCTGCCTTTACAAATAACATAGATCTATCCATTTTATGATTTAATTACTCCAAATGTAGTCACTAACAAACAGTAAAACACTGTGGGTCCTGATTCAGAAAAGTTACTTAATATGTTACTGTGGAGTGCACTGGCACTGTGGGTGTTAAAGGCCATTTGCCATTTTCCTTATTATCTCAGATTTTCAAAAGTTTGCATTTTTCTTGGTTTTTTTTTTTTAAATCTCCTCAGGCTGAAACTTGGCACATGAACCATCTGCCAAGATGAAAGATAATTCTTATCAGTTAAGCCATTACTTTGGTGCTACATTTCTGACAGTTACAGCAAGTTTTGCAATTTTTATTATGTAACTAATGAAACTAGATTGGGTGTCACCTGTCTGCACCAGAAACCTTCCCTTAAAATTCACGTTTTTAGAGGTCGCTAGAACCCCAGAGATGATGGGGATGACAGTGAGAGAAGCATGTCAGCTCTCTGGGGCACACTGATCCAGCAAAATGTTAATAGGCATTTCTCATCCCTAGGATGAATGCACAGATCCTAGCAGTACTGACAACATTTGCGATGCCACCCCTGCACTTTCCTTGAAACATCTGCGTAAGTAGCAGAAAACTACTATTTTCTTGAGTGCCTGACTCTTCCTGCCTCACTGAGGTTTTGGGAAATCACAGAGTGAGAAAGTTTCCAATCCCAGTTTCTGAGACCTGCTGCCCTCTGATCGGCTCCCCTCCCCAGCACCAGCGAGAGGATGGACAGACAGACAGAAGGGCAGACGACGTATCACCAGTGATATATGCCAGTCGCAGATTGACCATGTGGCCACCACAACACCAGGGCCACACTGACACCCAGCAATTTTGGTAGAACCCACACAACATTGATTTCTACATGTAGTAATCCCACATATGCACCAGCCACTTTAAATGTTACAGAGTCAAAAGTGGAGGAAAAAAAAATGAGCCCCGAATAATCCTCATTCCATCCAGTCCTGTACAAGCAAAAGTCAGCTTTTCCAGGGTGATGTAGATTGAAAGATTTAAGTTGTACAGAAGCTTTCTTCTATTTGAAATTGATTAACAAATTCCATTACTGTTAAGCCAAATAACTGCTGTTATAGCAAGATTTTTTTTTCAGGTATAGAGTTGTTCAGTAAGCTTTACTAAGGAAGCAAAAATAAATTCTGTATTGAAAAAGCCCTCTGAGAGGAATATTAAGTTCTTGATCTGAAGTCAGACAAATAAAAAATGGGAAGTATAGAACACACATCCTTACCAAAGAATCAGTCAGATCTTTCCGGTAGACAAACATACGACTGGATGACTCAAAAGATTTTGAGATTGCCAAGTCACTTGGTTGTAGTTCATGTTTTTCTGTAAAAACAAAAAAAAAAGGAAGAAAGAAAATAAAACTCAAAAGCTTCAGAAAAGGAGTAAAAGCTATGTATAACAAATGAGAAAAGCATTGAAAATACAATTGTAAAGCCATATCAATTTTTAATTTCACTAAGCATCTAGTCCCTATGTATATGCAAGCATGGGATCATAATCTCCACACTATTCAGGCACAATAAAAATGAGACATTGCTGATGCTGGACTAGAGACAAACACTTTCAGCATCTGCATTCAACAGGGCTGCAGATACCACCAGCAGCCATGGCCATTCAACAGGAAAAGAAGTTTAAAGAATCCCAACTCCATGAAATTCACCCCAAGGAGCACAGTCCTCAGTAATATGGTACTCACAGAAATTCCTCTAGACCTAGAGCAATTTGTTTAGTAAACACAGAAGTAAAAGAGCCGGACACACCAAAGTGGTAGCAGTACTCTGGAGTACTGGATCAGCTCTGGGTAATCTTGGATGCACCAGAAACAATCGTGGTGAAAAGGAAACCAAAACCCAGAACACAGCTAAAAAACTGTCCTGGGAAAATTGTCTCTTCCTGTGGGCTCCAAGTAATCTTCTGGAGACCTGCATTAATGTATTAGGAGTCACTGTAACAGGAGTCACTGTATTAATGCAGATCCAAAAGCATTACAATCATGTTGACAGCTACCCTGGAGTTTTCATAGCTCTTGAGGGAGGAGTAGGACCAGGAGTCTGAGAGCCAAACATCATTACAAACTGTTTTCCCTCTTATCCATGCTCACACTGATGCCAGGCACATTTATGTTGAACTACCAGTATGCTTTCTCAAGGTATTTTTGACTAAAAAGAACAAGGATACTGAAACTGTGGCATCCAATTAATTCGGGCAATAACATTTGGACCAAATAATATTTTGGGGGTTACAATGGTAATGTACAAATCACAGTCCTATTGCATCTGCATTACTATTATTTCTCACTGAACAGCTAAGCGGCAACCACTTCTATTCTGTGGCTTCCTCAGGAACCAATGTGGTCTAGAGATAATAATAAGTTTCATTATTTACGAACTGTTGGTTTCCTTTAGCTAAGTAGGCAGTTAGCAACAGATTTATTGCTATCAGAGTAAAACTTGCCCTGCTCTCAAACAGGAGCACAAGACCTGAAAATCAACAGTAGCACAGTGATTTTGCAGCACTGCAAAATGCACTGGAGGCAAGTTTGGGCACAAACAAGGGTAAAAAGGGAGCGCCTGCAAACGACGTAACCCGGCTGACCAGGATGCCTACAGGAAATGTTTCTGTGTGGCCACCACGTGCCCAGGCTCTTGATACCAGGGGCAGTGGCATCATCTCTCTGCCAACCACACAGGTACCCTGCAAAAAACTTATTTATCTCAGCCTGGCATAGGGTGGAAAAATGTGACCTTCCACTTCTGAATCAAATAAACAAACAAAACAAGCCAGCATTTGTCTCTATTTCATTTAACTAGACTGACAGAGAAGTAAGAATGAGTGCCATATCTGTAAGCATGCATCCTTTCTCTCAGGGGATGGACACCAACTAACATTATCTGAGGATATGGCCAAGATATTTTAAACTCTTAGACCTTTTTTGTAGATCCAGCATGGCATTTCTATGCACCTAGTTAAACTGCTTCCTTTATATTTCCTAAAAGACACCAAAACAATCAAAACAATGAAACAAACAATGTGACCAAAGACCTTGAGACCTGACAGAAACCAAAGCAAATCTTTGGAGTTTGACTGGTCCTTAGTATCAGTCTGTGATCAGTCTGATCTTCCTTAAAAAAAAGACAGTAAGACTTTCTGTTCAATGAGAAACATTAAAATAATAAGTAAAGAAAAAACAGTTGTAAGCAAGACTGCTTACAAAATACTGTTTAGATTACTCCTGGTATCTCAACTGTGCTAATACTCCCTCCTTTCTGCTGGAGAATATTCATTACCCAGGTTGTAAATGAGAAAACAGCCACACATACAGTGTTCTTACCCCCTTTTATATTTTTGAAGCAAACTATGCCTCATCGCCTTCCAGATAAATTTAAATGCGAAAGTAGGAGATTTATATGTGGGGAAAAAATAAAATCTTGCAGTACTGTTGGAGACAGAGTCCTTTGCACTCCCTTCCCAGCAAGAAGATGCGAGGAGATGCCGTATCCATCCAACAGTACTCAGGAATGAGCTGTTGCCATGGAAACGACTCTCTGGGAAGCAGCTCCTCATTGTTTCCATGGTCATCCAGCTGTGGGACTGCACAGGAACAGCTGTATCTTGCACCAGAAAATGTCAGCCCTCCCTTACATGATGCACTAAAAGGTAAGTAATCAGATGAAGGGAAATAATTTACCGCCAGAGAACGTGACTGTCACCAGCGCCAGCTCCTCCTCCGGGTACTGGATCTTCTCTGCCACAATCTTCAGTATCTCCTGAGCTGAAGTGGATACTTGAGCTTTCACACTGACATACGAGTGCTCCGTTATATACACACGACAGAAAACTACACAAAGGAAGAAAGAGACACTCAGCAGTAGGCAGAGACATCTGAACAGAGCAGGAGACAACCTGGCAGAGCCGACCACAGCAGTGTCTCAGCTGCCTGGCTGCTGCGGCTGCAGGAAGGGCAGCTGCTGCAACCTGACCTACAGGGACATGAAACTAAGCATAAACATCACCATTTTCTGCCTTCCCATTTCCTTTCCCTGGGAAGCGAGAGGGCCACGCAAATGCAAACAGACACCCCCACAGCTGTGTTTCAGCAACTTGTGTGTTTAAGACTTCCTACCGAGAGGATTTGTCACAGACAACCTCCTCAACCGCCTATCTTCTTTGCAAACTCAGCTGTTGCCATCTTCTCTCCCTTCCTTTTAGGCTCAGATAAATCAACAGCCTTTCAGTGTATTTCATATCCGCTGCAGAAATTATTTTGGACCTCCACTTCCACCTGGCATAGGGAGGCTTTGCAAGAACAGCACTCAGTGCTCCTCAACCACTTCTGCTAGCTTATCCGTCTGGACATCTAAACTACCTGCACTGCCAGGGTATTTTAGCAGCAACAGAGGCTGCCCAAACAGCAAGGCCTTTTGTTCTGACAGCTCTCTCCCTGAATTGCTGTCAGCACACATAAAAGGGAGTGATCTGGAGAAATTCCATGGGCTCCTCACTTCCACTGAAGATCATGAGTTGGTTAGGCTCTGGGAGTCATTCCCAGCAGTAATGATGCATGCTTCGGTTCCTCTGCTTGCCAGAATTTTAGGTTTACATCTTTTGCCCAGTTTGCTGTAGCCAGTTCTTTGAAATCCAGTTGTCACACTTAAAAGGGAAGAAACAGAGCTGCAGACTTGCAGAAATATTTCAAAAATTAAACATCTGCTAATAAGAATCACCACAACTCTTGGCTTCATACTCACTTCAGTGCTTAATTAAACTTTCCATTTCCTTCTACCCTACTGCTTCTTATTGCAGAGAGGCTGCTACCATGTCAGTATAAGACAAAACTTTTCTTCTTCAGAAATGCTGTATTTTTCAATTGTTTTTATTGACAGATGTATGTAGCAATATCCCTTTGCTTGTTCTACAAATCTTGTGGCTTCAGGGCACTTTCATTAACTAAGCCCATGCCAGAAGCGGTTGAGAACTCTATTCTCAAGAATATCTTTTATTTGTACATTGTAGCAAAGAAAAAAAGAAGATGAGAAGGAAGGAGGCACTTAACATTTAACCTTGGGGAAGAAAAGTAATTTGATTTTATAATTTTTTCTTAACCTGTCTCTGCTGGCAGAGAGTAAATCAGATGCTGATCCTATGGCAAAATCTCTCTTTGGAATGGATATAACTCATGAAAAGATAGAGACAACAAACTGCACTTTAAACTACAAGGTAGAAAAATTAATTTTAAAAGAAATCTGACAAACACTTAGCCTCCATATACAGCATGCAACACAACCTGCTTACAGTGAATTTCTTTGAAATTTCTCCCTCTGTCATTCAGGAAGGGAAAATGACAGCACTATGTTCATTTAGAATTGGGCTACTGACATATCCTTTGTTTAATGTTAAACTAAACCAACCCACAGGTCAGGCCCTCAAGCATAACCCTCATACCAATTCTCCCAAAGCCTGCTCCCTCACATACCTTTCCAACATCCTGTCTGCAGTATCTATTGGCATGGATCAATAGTCAGTTCCAAATAATCTTAATCTCTTCCAGAAGTCTGTGCTGCTCCTCTGTGAGATGCAGGAGGGAATGACATAGGAGGAAGCAGCCATAGGCTGCAGGTCACCCTCATAATGCTTAAATTAGGAGATTAAATGCCTCCAGTCAAGTGTCATGGTGCACCTTGGACAGACTCATCCTCCACAAGTGCCATTGGTCAGCAGCACTCCACCACACCAACTTAGATGTCCACCCTCAGTGTCTGTCTCTCCTCTCTCCAACTCCACTTTTGCTATTTCATTCCCTCAATCCCATCATCTTCTGTGGCTCATACTCTCAAGGAGTGAGATAAAAGCAATTTAAACCAGTTGGAGTAGGCCTTGCTGGGTCCTGCCCTTCCCGTCCCCACAGCCATGCAGACTGTTCCCCCTCTGGTGCCAGCACACTTCCCTCCCCATTCACCCACAAGCTGTGTCTGACTTTTTAAGAATGAGGGTGCAAATTCTCATCCAGAAATGACATTTTAAGAAACAGCCTTGATAACATAAACCTCAAGTAAACTTGTATTTGAAGCACAGGAAGAGGATATCTATCAGCAGCACATATTGCACGGAAAGACTTGGCATTGAAGCAGCTCAGGTCTTATTCTGTCACAAATAAGCACTAAAAATATCCAAGTGAACTTCTGGACATTTGTTCCAAGTGAGAAATGAAGACACATCATCCAAGGGTGAGACTTCCAGGTAGGAGGTCCTTCTGCCCAATCTCTGCCTGTGTACACAGTGTTACCCTTCTCTCTGCCTCCTTCCCAGTTACAGGCACTACGGGGGGCGGTGACAGCCTCACCGTGTTATTGCATTAGTAGTGAGGAAGAGAAATTGCATTTTGAAATGGCTGAGATTAAAGTGAAGTGGCACCTTGCACCCCACACAGAGGCATTTTCAAGGAGAGAAGGAACTAAGGCGGGTTCCCAGAGTTAGCAGCTCCTGGGCCATTTCATGTGACAGGCTTATTCATTCACCTTTTGCAACCAAGATCTAGGTCAAGAGACTGAGAGCACGAAACAGAGCAGGAATAACACCTGGTGAGGCTGCCAGCACTCCTGGGAGGCACACAGCTCTGCTGGAGGAACCCAAGGAGAAGAAAAAGCCCTTGAGATGTCATGTCACTGTTGAACCCCTGCAGAGTAGGAGGTGGGACAGTAACTTTACATAGTCAAATCTTTCTTCTTATGTGGCCCTAAAGTCTTGTTCAAAAGCTGTATGTCAGTTCCAAAAAATGTACATTATGGGCAGCCCTTGAGAAACAATTTCACAGTTTTGGAGTTTTCCTCCATTCTTTCAATCATACTTACTTTCTTCTGTTTCATTCATGGTTCCTCTGTGCTGCAGCCAGTTCTCCTTTACACTGAACTGGTGGAAAAAGGTTTTATTCTGTGAGGGAGTGTGGGAGAAAAAAAGAAAAAAAAAAGAAACAATAGTGACTCTCTGCATCCTTGCCCTTTACAAAGCAGTAATTCACACAACACTGCATTCATCTGGCCAAAAAGGTTTCTGTATAGGAAATCCACCCACCCGTTCTCGGATCAGTGAACTGGGAGCTGGCTTCCTAAATAATGGTCAAGGTGGGGATTTTGGAGGAAGTAGGACATGCCTAGGCTTAGCAGCCTGCAAGATTCACGGTTCTCTGCAGCCATGTTCAGAGGCAATATCTCACACACTTATATATGTTTCCTATGCACCAATCAGCCTATTTAGCAATTTCACTACAATCTCATGTTCTGCCTTCCACATTTCTGCAGTAACATTTTAAGCTTATTACACACTTCAGCTTCAGCCCAGTAAATTTGACGAGCACAGCAATTCACCTCTGTGCAGTCTGTATGCCAGCTTTCTCTGTCTGCATCTTCTCCCTCTGGTTAAATGGACGGATCCATGTTCTTTCTTTCTCTGTCCCTGTCACAACAAATCCCCCCTTTGCTCTGTCTACTTGACATCCATATCAATGCCTGCTCAGCCTGGTTTGCCCAGGTTTGCTCCATCTCTCCAGCCCAGTGGGGTCACGGCCCCAGGAGGGGATACGCTCCCAGGCCTCTCCTTAATTCTGACATCTCAGAGCATCTTGTTAAGATGCTAATACCATCACAGCCACTGCAGGTTAGCTCATGCAGCTGTGCCGGCAGGGAAAGAAAATTCCTTAAGCAACATTGCAGGTCTAACCTCACTGATGTATCCTGTCATGTTTTTGGCCACCAGTCACTTTCAATTGAGAAGCCAAGAAAAGAGAGTAAAGTGGACAGAGGGGAAGAAAGTGAGATGATTAAGTCAGCTAGCAACCAGCAACAATCAGGTTGGCGTTACCTTTCGGTGAGGTGAATACTCATCCACGGTGCTGAGAAAGAAAAGGAAAATCCAAATTATACTTCCAGCCAAAGATTAGGAAAAGAAAGTTTTAGCCATTACAAAGTTTACAACATCAGGAAGTTTTTAACATTAAATGGTCACCGCAGAATGGCTGCAGAGCTCCTTCAGGGAAAGCTAAAGGTGCCTAGCTCAGCCAGAAAACGTTTCTGTGACTTGCACAGTCGATGTAGTGAAAAGAAATGGTACCAGCCCATGAGCTGCTGGAGAACATGGATACAGCTCGGGTCCCTGCGGCACCCTCAGGGACGCAGCTCCTTCCACTTCCCCAACAGCCAAACCATGGAAACAAACTCCACGTGTTGGAAAAACATGGCAGGGAAATATCTTTTACAAATACCACCTTTATTAGTAAAATAACAACCTTGAAACAATTATTGCAAAAGAGACTTCCCTCTCAGTATTGCAGACTGCAGAGAGAGAATGAGAATGGATGTACCATCTGAAGTCACAACTGCAGCTTCTGAGGGAAATTTTGTCAGGTTTTGCACAAAGTATCACTCTACTTGCAAGTCATCCCAATCAAAACTGATGGGAGTGAC